ATTTACAAGTAAATATTATAAATTAAAAAAAATTATATATAATAGCAGTTTGAGATTATTAAATACATATTATTGTTAGTTGATTAAAAATAGTTGAGAATTAATAACATTGTGGGCATTAGGAAGTGATAAAAATAGTTGAGATTTATTAGGCACATAATGAAGGAAATGAGAAAATATGTCACTATTAATTATTACATATTTTAATTAAAAAAAAAGATAAATAGTTGAGAATTAATAAAAATGTGAGAGTGAAAGAGAATAAATATTTACTAAGTATGAGAGAATATATAAATATTTCATTAATTACTTTAATTTTTGTATATTTTAAATGTAATTACTTGTATTATTATTATAAAATTATAAAATCTATAAAAATTTAGAACCTAAAGCCTTTACTTTGGTTGCTTTACCCTAAAGCGTTGATTTAACTCTTCATTAACATGAGATTTCATAAAAAATTTCAAGATCGATATAGATCCAGATCAAAATAAGAATCTGTAAAATGTTATTGATTCTATATAAACGAGAGATGAAAAAAGTTTCTATAAATAAGAATTTTCTTCTAACAGACATGTTTTTCGGATTGAAAATGTGGATTCACTCCATCCAAAACCTTTTGACACTAATTTACGAGTTCTCATTTTTTAATTTAACCATACTAATCCAAATGAAAAGATATGTTTTAAATTAGTACAAAAGTGTTAAAATATTTACGAAGTAGCAATTTTAGTAGAATAAAAAAAACATTATTTTCCTCATATGGTGTATTCTGAGAGTTTGATACATGTAGCACTACAAAATGAGAAAGTGAAGTAGAAAGAAATTGATACATGGTTTTGTTTAATTTGAATATATTAGCTTTCTTAGTTCAATGTGATTTATTTTAAATTTATATTTAATATATTAATAGATGTATAATTTTATACATGGATAATCTATCATAATATCATCTCGTTAATAAATAAAAATAAAATATATAGATAAATATAATTCCGGTAACACTTATAAATTGCAAAGCACTGGAAAAAAGATTTATAAAATGCATTAATTTTGAAATAATGTTGCCTTAAATGTAATTCTAATTTTTCTAGGCTTAACTTGCACAAAAATGTATATAGTTAGCTTAATCAAGAAAGAAAACTTTAATGCTTCACTTATGTGGCAATCAATAAATGTGATAAGTTAATTCTATTGGCATACTAGTCACAGAAAAAAGAAAAAACTAAGTTAATGAATGTAGACTTGTTCAAGGCCTAAGCTACTCAGCCCAAGCCTCTATCACTTTTTCCAACTTTTTTTCCTTATCTAATGTGGAAAAAGATTTTAAATAAATTCAAGGATGATATATATAGCTGATTTTATAATACATGAAGCAATACATATTGCATTCGTGGCAACTTATGTATTGTTTTTCATTTTATAAAATTGACTAATCAGAATTAACATATCTGAGAAAACTCAATTAATTTTGTCATGTCAGAAAAGTTACATAAAAACTTATATATATGGAAGATGTTAGCTATCCTTGGGCAATAGTGGCTCAATAACTTTAAAAGTATAAAATTAAATATTCAAATGTGGTATTTTTTTATTGAAATTAAAAAAACAAGGCCTTTTTTTATCAAAGTTAAAGAAGAAAAAGTAAATGATGAAAGAAAATTCATAAGTGGATATTATAAATTGAAAAAACTTAGTTATGTATATATAAAATAGTGGTTAGAGATAATTAAATACATATTATTCTTAGTTGATTGAGAAGAATAGAAATAGTTGAGAATTAATAGCATTATAAGAATTGAGAAATGAAAAAAATTGAGATTTAGTAGGGATTTAATTAGAGAAGTGAGAGACATTTTATTAATTATGTTAATTTTTACATATTTTTAATAAAAAATTAAATAAATAGTTGAGAGTCAATAGGAATGTGAAGAGAGAATAGGTAGATATTTTATTAATTATTTTAATTTTTATATATTTTTAATATAATTAATTATATTATTATTATTATAAAATTATGATATTTATGAAAATTTAGAACTGAAAGCCCTTGCTTTGGTGGCTTTTTCCTAGTTCGTTAAAGTTAAGGTTGGCAATTCACTATCATAATGTGATCGTGCCATGTAAAGATGAAAGTATAATAGATAAATGAATTGACATGAATGTGACATAATAAATTAATCATGTCAAAATTTGACACGAATACGACATGTTTTATTACATAAGTTACACATTATGACATAGCTAATATGTTTAAATATGATTTAACTTATGATTAATTAAACATATATAAATATATTTTAATATATATACACAAAAAAGTTTGTCGTAAATGACTAAAAAAAATTACTACATGAATATGATTAAATGAAATTTAAATCCACAAAACTTCAAGTCACGTTAATGGATAATTTTATAAAAAATTTTTAAATTTAGTTAAAATCATGTGATGAATGTGACATATTTGCAATACGAATCATAAGATAGAACTTATTTGAATATGATAGAAGAATAAAAACATTTTGAGACTTATAATATTTCATATTCCTACTTTTTTCGATTATTCATTTCTCTATCCTAAATACTCTGACTGTCATCTACCGGAGGTACCATAGAGCGTTTGTACAACCCCTTCTAAATAGCAACAAGGGTGGACACATGTAACATATTAATTTCCTTTTTCTTAATTGAAAGAAGGCTAAAGGACGTCGTTTATTGCCCCGGGCACGAGGGAAAAAAATTGAGGAAAGAATGCTTAAAACAATTAATTAATGCATTATTGTTTATTAGTTTTTACTTTTTACATCCTTGATCTGCTAGCGCTCGCCAATTCTAGTATTTGCACAAAGATTTTGGTATTATTATAGAAAAGTGCTTTACCATTTCATTTTTTCAAAAGCAAGTACCTATTATTAAGAGAAGATTCTTCTTTCGAACTTTTCAACGAATAATTAGATCCATTTTTTTATCGTTTTGATCCTTAATTTTGTGGTACAAGTATTACCCTTAATTTTTTTTAAAGAACGATTACTTCTTTTGTATTTAGGGTTAGTATGGTAAGGTTGAAAAATCTAAATTTTATGATTGTATTCAACACGTTAGGTACTTGTTATTAATATCAAATTTGATGACAATTTCTTTCTCTAACTCAAAATTTCTATCTTTTTAAAGTATCATGATTGTATCTTTCAAGATGAAACATTTTTCTATAGGACAGTTAATAAAAATGATAGTTATAATAGTTGATGTCGTTTACTCGATAAACATCTTTAAGTCGCTTCATTTTTGACAATTGAATGAGCTTACACTTCAAAAGTTCTTATAACATGCTTGCAACATTTGAGTCAAGAAAGGGATTTTTTTCTCCTATATATTCTTCATAAAAGTCTTTTTTTTACTTTATTTTGCAAAAGAATAAGTTTTTTTTTAATTGAAGAAAGTGTAACGATCCAAGTCTAACCACTGACCTAGTAACTTTTTGGTAGTAGTAGTAGATTTGGATTGTTATATAGGTCTTAATAATCACATTCACATCAGATGTGGGTCCAACCAGTCAAATCCTTGATGTCCCCACCCATTCAAATCCTTGATGTTCTCATCAATGTCACACATCACATCCACAGGTCCAAGATCTCACCAGAGAGATGTGAAAGCTCACATCGGATCATTTGTAACGACCAAAGTCTAACCACTGATCAAGTAACTTTCTGGACCTAAATCACGTGGTCCTAAAAAGTTTAAGCTCAAATTATTAATAGTAATAGACTTAAATTGTTATATAAGTCTTAACAATCACATTCATATCATATGTGAGATGTTGAGTATAACAGAAAAAGAGGTTTGAATCTTGCTTTTTAGAAAAAAAATTATACGCTAATCAATGAGCAAAATGATCGAATGCAAAAAAAGAACAAGCTTTGCTGTTAGAGTTTCTTTGAACTGGTGGACATTTTGAGAGGCTTAGTGTTAAAAGTCTCACCCTTATCAAAGTTTTACCCCCATTGCCAAAGTTTTGCTTTTCCTTGCTCTTCCTTGGCTCCCGCACAAGGTCTTTAATTTCTAATTGCTGAAATGCTTAATTCCCTTTCATGTGCTCGAGTAGCTAATTTTTCTATAGTCTTGAGCTAAATGCCTTTTAAGAATTTAACGCAATCCCCACTTCATTTTCTGGATACACATATCAAAAGTAAATGATTCAAATCATTGCTATTTGCGATTAAAATTCAAATTTCTCCAGCTGTGAATATAATTAATCACGAACTCATCTTTCCACTAACATAAATTTGTTTGTTCAATCATGCAAACTACAAGATAAGTATTGTAGAAACGATCGAGGAATTCACGCTCAAGTTATTTCCAATTGACAATTATCCCAGGTTCAAGATTCATGTATTAATCAAAGGTGTTACTCTATAGAAAGTGAACGAACTGCTTCACCATAAAATCTTCATACTTACTAAAGTTGTTGTAAGTTTTCACAACGTGTGCAACACATTGACGAAGATTTCTTTTACCATGGAATTGTTGTAACTTTAATGCTTGGTAATTCCCTAACATCCTCGTACATTGGATCTTTCAGAAGTATGGTTTCACGTAAGCATAAGACAGAAAGATAGGTCCAGATTTTATAACTATGATTTGGGCTATAAAACATTATCCATCTATCATGTTTTTTATGGAGATAAAATGCAAAAGTAGAATCTCAAGCTATCAATAGGACTCCCGCTAAGCAATATGAGGCCATTCCTCCAAAGCAAATGTACCTGCTTGTTCTTTTATCAAAAGTCCGTAACAAACAAGCAACTAAACAGTAAAATCCCTGCATGATGCATGACAAGCCTTGAGATTTCAACATGCAAATTCCACAGAAAAAATAGTTTCCAGGAGTCTCATATTGCAATTTCCTTGTTTATGGAAGTTATTTGGTTCTCAAAAGTATAACATGTGGAAACGAAAATGGTAAACTGCTTTCATTATTCAACATTATAATTTGGTGCAAAATTGTGAAAGTTTTCAACTAACGTCTTTTTTCGGGGGATAAGTAAATATACTTCTTCAAACAGTAGTCAAAAATCAGAAAATCTACCTAAATTTTGAATTAACATCTTTGACCTTCAACATCAAGACCAAACACTAGTTTCAATCAGAATTAATGTAACACTTTGGCACAGGGTAAAAGACAGCAACGTAATGCCCTTAGCTGTAACAAAATAACTACATATCTCAGGAAATTTGTTCATATAACCTTTGATGCCAGCATCCCTTTGAACCTTCAAGCAAATGGATTTACCTACAATGTGATTATATTTACATCACAAACATACTCTATGACTAACACATATGCAGATGTGTCTCGTCATGTTTATGTGCTCCTACATGCATGCATGCATATTTCTGAATGGGAACAACTAAATTCTATTGCTTTTCAAATCAATGAACCATGATTTCAAAAGGGCACAAGAAACAGAAAATTTTACCCATCAAATGACAGCAAATAAGAACAATACCTATTGATTTTTTTTAGTATTTCTTTGTGTTTTCCCAGTTCATTCGTGACAATGACAAAGTTAATTATTGTTACTATACATGCATCACAAGTATTTTGAAAACTTCAATAACCAAAACGAGAGTCTTGAACATAACCTACTTGAGTGCTAAAAAAGGTTCGAATAAGCAGTTGAAATTCAAAGGAAATGAGAGGGAAAAGATGAAGAAAATTAGGTACACAAGTGACACAAAACAAAGAATTCTAATTCAAAAAGAAAGTGAAGACAAAATCTCTTTCCACAAACTTGTAATTAAAGTACTCATTAAGGTTAATAATTTTATAGTTTTTGTTATTAGTTGTACATTCCAACAATGTTGATCTCTATCAACTCAATAGAGACACTCAATTGTTGACTTAATATAGTACAGATACTTTTGGTGACACCAATAAGTTGAAGCATTAAAGTAATTTTGATAAAAAGGCACTCATAATATGATGTAATCCAAAGAAACTATCTCAAAATGTGGAAAAGAAAGCTACAAATAGACAAAATGTCTCGCTAAATTTAATGAGTGAATTATTGTTCTGAGATTATTTTCTATCTGCAGAGGTCTTCTCCTTCCTCCTTGATCAATAGCATGTCAGCAGTTAGAAAAGACTTAATTGTAAGTAAACCCAGATACGCTCAAGAAACTAAAGGGCATATTAGGACAAGACTGCAACTATTCCTTCAATGGACAGGCACTATAGCCATAGTAATGTTCCTTTTATTTGGGTGCTAACAAACTAAATCATATAAACAAAACCATTGGCACAAATATCGATGCGTTAAGGTTCGCCAACACCCACAACCACAACATGGCAACCAAATCCACAATTGTGATTTAGAACAATTGCTATAGCAGCCATTTTCCAGAAAGACAAACCAAATACATCTGGCAAAAATTTCATATGCTCCAACACAATGAAGAAAAGACAATTCAAGATAGTGAAGATAATGAATCAAACATAGAATGAGGGAATATAAGAACAGAGACTAACTACAACATGATGGAGCCCTAAAAGGAATATACATGCATGTGAACACTAAGCACGATTGTGCTAGAGATAAGGAAATGTGAAGAAAGTGTCAATTGCAAAGACAACAGTCAAAAACAAAGTAAATTGGAATCTTTGACATTACTCCTAAATTTACTAGAAAATATCAGAAGCACAAACTTGGCTAAGGTATTTGCGATGAAGAAGTTGGCAGTGGGGGTGAGGGTGAAGGTTCTCTTTGGAGTTCCTTGACAACAGCAGCCAAAGCCTCAGGGTTCAGACCCAAGTCACAGAGGGCAATGAGGACTGAGAGGGTATGCCGATCAAGTCCTGTATCAAGAATATTTGACATGTGAAATGCCAGGTCTAGAGATTCTCGGGCAGTTCGTGCAGCTTCAGGATCCATAACAATAGACTACAAAAGGAAAAATTCTCCAAAAATTTAACATCCAATTGGAGCCAAGGACACAAATTTTTAATCATCTTTAAAAGAAAAATTCCAAGATCAAGTACAGACAGAAATAACTTTGCTTTGTCATTACACATAATAAAATTTACTGGTGAGCTCCAGACACTTGAAATGAATGCAGCTCATGAAATTATTCAGAAACTAATACAGAAAATTAAAAGCCGGCTCATGAAATACAAAATAATAGCAAATCAACATCCTATCATCAAATAAACCCCTCAAAAAAATGTAAAGTAAGGAATTCCCATATCCAATCATGAATCAAACACCTATTTTTGCAAAGCTTATAACCAACCATCTGAAATCAACACACAGACCAGAGAAATGAATTACTCTGTGACACTCCAATGAGTGTATATATACAAGAACTAAAAAGGCAGTAAACTTTAATTCAATTCTTATACGGGAAGACCCAAAATTTTGGTTTCTCAAATCTGAAACAAAGAAAATGAAAATGCTAACCTCAAGAGATCTCGGGAAAAAGAGTAAGCAGAGCGTTTGTTTCTGTTCTTTTTAAAAGTTGAAAAATATTTCTGAATAAATACCAACTAACAAGACCCGTTCAGGCCAACAAGCCCAGCCCACAAAACAAGTTCCGTGCAGTGGTGGGGGGGTAGGTTGGGTCATTGGTCAATGAGAGGTAGGTAAACTCTAATCCTTTTCTACAATTGACGAAGAGAAATGAAAAACCAACCAACCCGAACTTCAATTTTTTGGAGTAGAGAAAGACAGAAGAAGAAGAGGAAGAAATCATGGGAATCTACTCGACAGTGATGGACGCCGTGACAGAGGTGACGGGGCTATCCCCGACGGCATTCTTCACAATCCTTGCCATGATGGTGGTTGTCTACAAAATCGTTTGCGGCATGTTTTTGGGTCCTGAAGATTTTCGTCAGAAGCCGCCTAAGGAGCCAGTTCAGCTGGGAGATGTTACGGAGGAAGAGTTAAGAGCTTACGATGGCTCTGACCCCAGTAAGCCTCTCCTTATTGCCATCAAAGGCCAGATCTACGACGTCTCTTCCTCCAAGTAATAAATTCTTTTTCTCATCTTTACTGAATTCATGTGATTGTACATTTGATGAAAACGTAAAAGTTTGGATTTCAGGATGTTTTATGGCCGTGGAGGGCCTTATTCGATGTTTACAGGGAGGGATGCAAGCAGGGCCTTAGCCATGTTGTCATTCAAGCCTGAAGACCTGACAGGGAACATTGAAGGCTTGAGTGCTGAGGAGCTTGCTGTGTTGGAGGATTGGGAATATAAATTCATGGACAAGTATCCCATTGTTGGACGGGTTGTTCCAGCAGCAAATACCACTACAAACGGAGATAAAGTACATCTTCAGGACCAAGATGTAAACGGGCTACAAAAACAACAGATTTGATTATGATTCCAAGCTTACAACACTTTTTGCAGTAACAATTTGTACAACTCAATTCAAGCTTAGAACCTTTGTTTGCCCACTCTTCACTTAATGTATCTTATCCAAGTCAAATTCGGCTTAATGATAGCCGAAGTGATTCAACTCAGCCCATCATACTCTTATTAAATAAACAAAAGTTGAATTAGCCACACAAATAAAGAAAGGAGTTATGGTCATTCCTCGTTTCATCCATGGCTTTGCCAATGTTCTTTCAAGGTACTTGAAAACATGGCAGAAGCAAACAGCATAAAATGGAGTATCTTATCAATCATATAAATGTCACATACATGGCTCTCCTAGATTTTCCAAATAGGTAACAAATGATAAACGTAAGGCCCTCGATCTCAAGCTTTATTTTATCATCATTTCAAAGGATGAACTGGATGATTTTACCAGATCGAAACCAGCAAAATACCAAGTTAAAATGATGTAGAAAGAATTACAAACCAATGCAATAATCTCTATCCATCAATTTTTCCTTTCACAACTTGGAATTCTGACCCACCAACCTAGCCCCATTTGGAATGTTTACATTGGTGCCTTGTATGAAAATTAAAAGTGAAATAAAATTACAAATTCACACTCTAAGAGCTTGACATATTAGCGTAGAGGAGAGTGAAGAAGAGCCCGACTTCTGGAACACTTTGTATTATTTGGATAAACTGGTTTTTGCTCGGTTCGTGAAGCAGAGATGGACAGATTTGTGAAATTCGAGGCAAAAGTCTAGCTAGAGGCATCCCCAATGTTAGACTACCTCCTCCAGATTGAAACCCCTTATCCTCCACCAGGGCGTTCACCACTGCTTTTAATGATATTTCCACAACACTGGTAAATTCGGCACTGCAAGGAAAACGAAAAAAGAAAGGTCAAACTTGACACAACACAAAGTTATCTGCATGAGATTAAGATTTGACAGTGTCTAGATACTTCACAGATAATATCTATTGTTAATTTTGTTTGTTTAAGTCCAAATGATAATTGATAACAGACTACAAGCAAGAAGGAAAAAGTTGCAATGAGTTTGAAACATAAGATGATAGGAACATCTCGAACTAACTGCAACAAAATAAATTCTTTGTGGGGAGTCATCACTCAGCTCCATTCTGAGATCAGAAGGCCTTCCTGACTTTTAAGTGAAGCTTATCGAGATAGTCTATTCTAGGTGATCCTGCCAACAAGGACCAACATATTTAGGCTGCCACTCTTTTTTTTCATCATCTCTCACTTTGAACAAGTATTTTGGTTATAGAAAACCTGTGTTTTATTGGCTAGTCAACTTCCTATATCACCCATAAGTGTGCTAAGGTTTTTCCGATAGAGGTGACGAGAGGTAAAACAAAGGGAAGGGAGAGTGGCAGCCTCTCCTTGTGACTTGTGTTAGAAACATTTTAATGTAAATGGAGAATTTGGAGGGATACATGTGCCCGTCCAAAACTCTCAGTTTTTAAAAACCTTCCAGATTAGAAGGTTTTGGGAGGCAAGGGTTCCCCTTTAAAAGTTTTTACTTTACAGGAAAAATTGGTTATATTTTAACATTTTATTTTTGTAACTTATAAAGGATATAATTGTACAAGAACATGATAAGAAATCATCTCTTTCTCTTACTACTTTTTAACCAAACAATGTTGGTAAAACATCTTTCCCTTTTTAAGAAATCCGAACAAACGAAACCTCTGCCTCATTTCCTAGTCCTTAGTAACTTCCTAGTTTTTACATGAATGACATATTCTGATTCACTAGTCACTCATCCCTAAGAAACCTAGTTGTGAAGCTTTAGGTTAACCAAGGGTGGTTTGTAGCTGTCAACTTGTGGAGTTACCACCACAACACCACCACCCACCCCCACACACACCCAACAACCCCCTCACCCCACACCACCACCCCCACAAAAAAAAAAAAAAAAGGAAAAACAAACTAGAAAAGAAAATTAATGGTGGTTATCTAAGGCTTGAACATCTTCTTTTTTCTTCTATTTTTTTTGTCATGCAATGGTTAAACACATAATTATTAAATAAGAAGGGTTGGCATTAAAGCCCTTTTTGAGATGCAAATACATGCAATTGACCACACATTGCCCCTTGTTAAATTAAAACTCATAAATTGTTAAACAGGAAACAGATTAAATAACATATTATGTGCCAATGTACCGATGATACCTTGAAAGCACTTCTCGTGTCTCAACCATAAGTTGATCAAATTGTGTAAAGTCAGGAGGATTTGTTTTATCACTGCTGGACACCGTGGCAAACTTGCACAACCTTGGGTCCTCAGGCATCAAGCAGTCCACCCAGTGATGAGGACTTCCCATGCTCATGAACATGTCAAGGATCTGCATAATTATTTGATGAAGTACTGTAGTATCGAAGAAGTCCCTCAATTGCTTTCTGAAAGAAAGTACCCACATTCCAAGCCATGTGAGGAGACCTTAACATTTATCCAATATTCTTGAGAAGTTAAGATAACATTCACAAAGTATTCCAGTATATCTATTTTTGGAAACAATAATGAAGTTTCAAAGTAGCATTTTCTTAATCTTGAAGTGAAAGCAACTATAACTTGTCTATCAGTTACTACTGCTGTTAGCATGGAATGCCATATGGTTCAGAATGTTTGCTTGGAGGGTTGTTCTGATGTATCCTTCACTTTCAAGTCTTGCCCTCCAATCATTTTGGCATATATTATCTTTGGATCAAAATATCTAAAAGACAGATCTAATTACCCCTTTGTGTAAAGGGGTAAGGAGGTCAAAACTCAGGCTAGATTTCAGGGACATTAGGTTTGGCTATTGATTAATGTTTGGGAGAAGGAAGCATCACACACGTTATGATATTCATCATCAATATTTTTTTAGTTCTTAAGAGAGCCCTATCACCGCATTTTGACCTCATTATGTTACATTACAGCATATTCTTTCTTGATTAGGAGAAGCAATGTCATAGGATTACTCTCCACAAATCGGAAGATCAAATTGACAGATATGACCTAATTTGTCAATGTAAACATTGGAAATGCTCACCTGAATCATGCCCTAACCCAAAAACTAATTGGGTTGGCTGAATAAATTATTTTCCTCCATTTTGCCCATTTTATGGATGTGTTTTCTGGAAAATATTTAGGTATCCATTTTACTCTTCAACTCATGTCAGTTTTAGCCAACCTTAACAGACGCTAATTCCAAGAGCAATAGACCAAAAGGTAAAGATAAAGAATTGGAAAACCACTCACGCCTTCAGAACTTCTGTTGCTGCTGTCTGCATATTGGAAATCAATGTCGACAAGCCATGATTGGCAAGAAAGTCAGCATTTGCCAGAAATTTTTGCTGGTCATCCCTGTCAATGAGCTCAGCATCCTCCTGCATGAAAGGTATGAAGACAGATAAGGATGCCTGAAAGAGTGCTAAATAAGATTTATAGGGCCAAATATAACAGATCTAATGAGAGTGATCGACAATGACACTACTCAGAGACAACAGTACCCACTAACAAGCAGATGGCTTAAAACAATGGAAAAATAATGAACACTCAACATCACATGACAATGCAAAAGAAACAATAAAATTGTGATGTAGCCAAGATAGTCATGTGGACTACAAGATTTAAAGGTTTAATCCACAAAAATGTTTGCAACTCTTGGTCATCACATATGTCAACTGTGATTCATTTATATGGTTAACACCACAACTAGAAGAGTCAGTAGCTAGCATCAATTGATCTACCCAGTACTATCTCATCCGGGTTTAATTTAAATTTCTCATTTAGCACCTAAAAAGGCATTAAAACTCAATTGAGTGCACAGAATAATGACAAGTGCTGAATTCTTATTGAAAATTTTCTTTATGAGTTTATTCCACAATTAGAAGTGTTGAGGTATGACTCTGGATCCATTTTTTATTTATTATTTTCTCTTTGATGGTTGCATAATTCAATCTGTATAAATCAGTTTTGGTATTTTTTGGCTTAAGAAGCCACCATTTAAGGCAAATAACACTAATAGTTCATGTCATGTCAGTAACCTTCTACAGCAAAATAATTACATCAATATCCAACTTTATAGGAGCAAAATGAAGGGTTCAAATATGCATCCAGGTAGTAACATATGTACTACCAAATCACAACTATTATCATGGCTTTTGTATATGTCAAAGGCCCATTCTGTATGTCAATAAAAGAAACTCTCTTATTAAACCGAAATTAAAAGTTTAAAAACCTTAAAAGGCCAAAACAACACTTTTTTTTTTTGGTATAATAAATATGAGAGCACTAAACTCATAAAAAGGACAATCAATAAAACCTGAAAAATAGAACCCTATAAGCTCCCAAAACAAGGAGGCACACCAACCAACAGAGGTTTGAATTAATACTTTATCGGTCTATTCATCACACACACACACACACACATAAAAATACATCTTGAAAGCCAATTTTTGAATAATAAATAGTTTGCACGGCATAGCATGATTGCACACTACTTTCAGCATCTGAGAGGGTTGTGTTAGGTGCAAAAAGCACACAAATATACTTAAGCCCTTCAAAGCCATAGAAACCACACCGCACCCCCCCACCCCCCCCCCCAAAAAAAAAAAAAAAAAAGAAACACCCCTGCACCTTTAACCACCACTTGAAGGATTTTGTTATTTGTAAACATGGCATTATTTAAATACGTGACTGCATATCCCACAATTATTTGCCACATCAGCTTACATTTCAAAAATAGATGCTCAAGTCTCTTATATTATTCCACCTTAACAAACCAGTTTACTCAAAAGAATCATACAAAAACTTTCTCTATCATTCAAACAGCAGAGGCAACTAAGATGGAATTTGGTGGATATACCAGCTATAATAATCCGTAGAGGCATATTTAGAATGAAATTATAATCTCATAAATTTCAGCAAATGGAGAGGTAAAGGAAAAAAAAGAGTTGATATAGTTTTGCAAATCATCTGTAGGTAACAATAAAAGAATTGAACATAGTATCAGGCATTATGAATAAAAACATAGTGCTCTTACAAGTAAATTTGAGCTTCCAAGACCACGTGCAGTAGCAATATATAAATGTCTTCCTAGAATGTTGACTTGAACTCTAATATATAAGCTAAGCAGTGTTACTGCCCATATTGACACCACCATTCTAGTAAAACCTGGAAAAAAAAACCAAACATATCAGTTATGAAAAATTAGATTCGCCTGCATGGCCTAGATACTTGCAATTTCTAATGTCAAAAACACCACAACAGTAAGAAACCAGAAGATAATGACTTCATACTTAAAATTTTGAGCCTATCCCATAATTCAAGTTTCTCTGAAGAAGACAAAGTGTTGGGCTGACCCTTCCCTCTCATCAGCCTGTTTGTAAGATGTGAAAGGTCCAAATCTTCAGCTATTCGATAACTTAAATAGTGCATTGCATGAGGCAATGTTGTTGTATCAGCTATTCTTTGAATGTTCTCGAAATGGACTTGCATTCTATCAAAAGTTAGAAAACCAGAGAATATAAGAACCAAAACAGTGAATTTGTTCCACAAAACTTCATAATAATCGTGACCATTCTTACTGAGCTTTAATGAATTCATCATTTTCCCGCTCACTTGCGAGCTGTCTTTCCAAATCAGCAAGCCTATGTCTGTGAGCATCATATAGTTTATACAAAAAATACCCACTTCCTAAAACACCTGCTGTAACCAAAACCTTCCTCTTATGCCTTCTCCAAAGATCCCTATATTGGCGAAAATGTAATAATCTATTAGCAATCAATTGAAGCAACAAGAGAATGTTAACAAATCTCATAAACCCGATATTACAGACTACAAGCAAAGCACAAACTAGCAATTAAATGACAACAACAGAAATTTGGTTATTAACACACACTAAGCATAACATCAGCAAATGCAACTGAACCACAAAGTAAAAACCTGTAATTGAAACAGAAAAGAAGCTATATCTCATAAAACCCACACAGAAAATTGACAAAAACAAACAATTAAAGAAAAAAAAACTGACCTTAAAGATAGCATATTTGCTGCTATGGCAGCCAAACATCCATTTGGAGTAAGCAAAGGTAAAAGGGGAAAAACCCAAAAGGAACCCCTTCAGTGTATATATGAGAAAAAGGGTAAATCTTAAGAGACTGAAGAGAACATAAAATCTTCTTGACTTCTTGTCAAAGGCAGGCTTAGGAATACCCGCCCTTCAAACAATAGAAATGAAATTATGCTTGGTTCCTTAACTAGGGTTTATCAGAGAAGAGGAGAGGAAGGTTGTCTATAAAGAGAGAAGCTTTGCCTAAGATAAAGAGCAGCCAAAAACTTAGCTGTTGCTGTCCTACTTTTGTTTTTCTTTGGCCCCTTTTCGATGGCTTTTCTGTGTTAATTCTAATTTCTAATATTATGAAAGGACATGGGTGTAATCTAAATAGCTCTAGACTCGTTACTTTTCCAGAATTTTTCTTCATCCTGGAAATTTGTTTGTGGGAAATTTACACTTAGGTGTAATGAATTTAAACAAATTAATGGCTCGTGGTTTATCAAAAAATTATTGTTGAATAGTTTAATGATGACAGATAAGACTAATCATATAACTACGATTCTCATAGCAAATTACAAGTTCCTAATTATTTAAAAATTTTAAATTAATCTTCATTCTTTTAATGCGTTCAGTAAAGTTTTATATTTTGATTTTAAATTAAATAATTTTTTATGATTAATAATCGATAAATTATTATTAATTAAAATATTATTTTTTATTTTTTATATTCTCATAATGTTGATGCTTTGACTAATGACATAAAATCTCAAAAGAGTTTATTTGATCAAAAATAAAAATATAAAAACTTAATTAAACATAATAAAAACATAAAAATTTATTGAAATTATCTTAAATAATTTAAAAACTTTTTTTATAGTATTCTTTAATTGAATTAATGAAAATGTCTTTCAAGGACAATAGGTACAAGTCATCATAGTGTACTGAAAATGTACATATTATTATGATAAGATATAAAATTTATTATAATAAATTATATATTTCATTTAGTTATAACTTACATGACAATTTCATAAATGTTTTATTAATATAATGTAAATGTATATATTATCATAAAAAAACTATGCATAATATTATAATATAATATGCATGCCATATAGTAATTATATATAATGTGATTTTTTTTGGATATTTTATTGAGCAAATTGTGAAAAATAGTCAACCTTATAAGCTTATTTTAAGAATAATTTTGTATATAAAGTTAACTGTTTTGATCCAATTTTTACTATTATTTGATAAAATGGTTTTTAAAACCTTTTCAGACAAATTAAATACTCTTGATTTCTCTCTTATGTCATCCAGAACATTATCCATCCAATTCTATCAAGTCTCCCATGCCCTTTAAACCATTCAAAACGATATTTTTGATTTGCTCATCTTCCTTTCCAAAAATTTTAATAATAAAAAGAATTTAAATAGACAAAAAGATAGGAATGGTTCAAGATTTTCCATTCATCTTGAAATAAGCAAAACGTTTCATTTTTTTTCAAATTCGGTGCAAATTTAAAACAAAGAGAAAATGGGAAAAAAAAAGAAAGAACAAAAAGGTTAAAAAGAATTATATGGAAGAAAACAGTTTTTGCATTTTGGTTGTAAAGAAAAGGAAATGAAGAGTTCAAGATTTTCCATCCATCTTGGAATAATAAAAATGTTTCAATTTTTCAAATTTGATGTAAAATTGAAATAAATAGAAAGTGGAAAAAAAGAACGAAAGAGAAGGTGAAAAAGAATTACAGGGAAGAAAATGACTTTTGCGTTTTGGTTGCTTCCGTCCATTTTTAATTTTCGTAAAATCTCATAAAAAATTCTAGAACAGTCCTTGTCAGATGATTTTGTTTATAAATTACAAAACTTTGTGTCACTTCCTAATGATTTTGTAAAGAAAATGTTCAATAGCTTTGCTGGAAGGATGATATCTACTGTTTGTAAATTGTAATATTTTTTCAACATGGTATATAAGATTTTTTTTTTCAATATGACATGTAACAATTTTTTTTTTAATATGATATATAACAACATTTTGAACATGACGCGTGTCAAAAACATTTTTTCAAGAAAGCGTGTAACAACTTTTTTTTTAATATAATGTTGAATAACTTTTTTATCAACATGATGTGTAACAATTTTTTTTTTAAATATGACATGTAACAATTTTTTTTTCAACATAGCATGCAATAATAACATTTTTCCAACATGGCATGTAACAATAATATTTTTTCAATATAGTATGAAATAACTTTTTTTTAATATAACATGTAATAACTTTTTTTTAACATGATATGTAATAATTTTTTTTTTCAATATGGTTTGTAACAATATTTTTCATATGTGTTTGAATATGAAAAGGTTTCATTAAGGATAATTTTGTCTAAAATTTTTTCTTTTAGTTAAAAATAGTTAAAATTTTAAAAAATATATTTTTAAAATACCTTATCTTTGAGCGCTAAAAAAATTATCTCTATTATATTCATTATAAACTGATGTATATAGCATTATAATAAACTCTATACATAGCATTTTAACCAAATGTATATGTGATTTAAGTGTTATCAACGAGAAACATGAAGCAATTTTGTAAACGTTTTAATCATCATAAAGTTTAGAATGACTATCACCTTGTAAGGATAATTTTAGTCTCATTTTTTAAACAAATTGACTTAAATTAGATATGTAATATAAAATAAAAAATAAGATTAATGATGAAAAAATTCAAATTATAATATTATTATAAGATGAGGACATAGTACTCAGTTATTATGTACAATTATGTTAAAACCAAGAGCAAATAAAGGCAATTCATCCTCGCAATATAAATCTCTCATTACACTTCATATATGAGTACCACATGTTACCTCAAACAGTATCTATTTCAGTTAAAACCATGGGCAAATAATTTGTTTGCAATTCCTTACATCTATGTGTAATTTTCCTTTTTTTTCATTTATATTTTTTTTTCATATGGAATTTCCTAGCAATATAAAAAAATATTAAATTCAAGTTGGAAGTTGTTTTGGGGGTCAGACTTAGAGCATGTTTGATTTGATTTTTTTTAACTTAAAAGTTATTATAAA